AAGCCTGCCCCAAGACAGGGCATAGCCGGTGGCTGTTGTTGCCCCTGTGGCGCACCAAAGCCGAGGGCCTGAGCAGCCTGCAAGGCAGCCAAATTGGCCAGCAGCTGCTCGTTGAAGCTTGCCATGGTCAGGAACAACGGCCAGCTCTAGCAACACTGCCCTGCCCAGATCCGCTTCGGTACATGCAGGAGTAGCACATGAAACTGCAGGAGTCGATTAGAAGAGGGGCTAATGCTGAAGGGTGCTCATGCCTAGGGCCTAGCCTAGGACACCAACCACTCAACATGAGCTCCTGATATCACTGGTTGGACCAAGCAGCCAACACCGAAAACATGACATCGCTGTAGCTTGCCTCTTCCATGCAAACAAGGAGCAATGAGCTGTGCTGCATGCAAATCAGATGCAAGAAGATTGACAAACTTTTCTCACCCTTTCATAAGAACTGCCGACCTCTGTGCATGTGCGGGCTACCCTTGCTTGCCACTCCTCTCAGCAGCTGCTGCACGGGCCTTGCCACCGGACTTGAAGCCTGTGTGCTTCCATTCCTTGTGACACCAGTAGCAGTTGTGATGGCCGTCACGGTGTGCATCGCAGGAGTGGTCCCTGGAGCAAGGGTAAAGCCCACACGTAGAGCACAACTCCCTGTGTGGCCGGCTTGCCTGCTGGGCCCGCAGCTCCCTCTCCAGCTTTCGCAGCTCCGCCTCGCGGGCATCCAGGCCTGCTTCCCGGTCGTTGAGATCCGCTTCCCGCTGATCCAGAAAAATCTCGCGATTCTCCTTCCTGTCTTGGTGCTCATCAAGCATTCGCTCCACTCTGTCCAGCATGGAGGCCACCTGCTTGGGGTACTTCTCCAGAGGATCCGACGACGAACCGGCCATGTCGGGAGCAGCACAGGGATGCTACGGCTGGGGGAGCTGTGCAAGGGCCCACAAAAGAGTCTTCGGGGCAGAGCGATGGCTTGGCCTAGGAAGACTGCTCTCTGCTGCAATCTGCGACTCTACCTTATGTAGCCTGTGCAGAAGACACCACAGCGGCAAACCCCAACAGCACTGGCATCGGTCCTTCTTCAACTTCTTCATGAGAACGTCGTAGGCTTTGCGGAGATTGTCGTTCCCCACATTTTGCTTCCTGCGTCTGCTAAAAGAAGACAGGCGAAACAAACCTGGGGAAGCCGACTCGCTACTCAGTCCTGCTTTATGATTAGTTGCAAGCAAACCTGGCACTTGTTCGGGTCCTCTTGTGCGACTTGCAGAGGCTTTTCAGCAGGGAAGTCACATCAGCCAACGTTTTGGCATTGGAGATCGTCACATCCGTGAGGTTCTTGCCGATAACTGGGTTGCAAAGAGAGAGATTTAAAACCCGTGCGAGTGCAAGCAAACGTCCAACATGATCCGAGTTGCGGAGATCTGCAACCTCGGCCAATCGTGCCCTCCAGCACCCACTAGCCGCGGTCACCTGCTCAGAAACTGATTCCTTCGGCAAAGAATGACAGCCTACACACGTGCCAAGACAAGCTTGGACCATTGAACCTGTGTCAGAGCTTCAGTCTTCCCCTGCTCGTCCTTCGACTTGCGGAGTCGGCGACAGGTCTCCATCCTCATGGCCTCCTTGGGTAGGCTGCAAACAGAAACAAAATCAGCGGAACAACACATAACAGTGGAGCCCGAAAGCCCTATCATCTGCTGCTCAGTCACGTACTCGCCACCAATGGCAAGCAAATCCGATGCGTGCACACACGGTGCGACATTCGACAAAGACACAGCGATCTGCTTGCATGTCAAGTCATCCAGACGACCCTGCCGTGCAGCTCGGTTGAACTCTTTGGGCGGCAGAGCAAAGATGCTCATGAGGTCGCCATAATCCTCATCCTGGGATCTGTGGCTCCCTGACGAAGAGGAGCCTCGGGTTCACCAATGAGGCTGGGAATCTTCCAGCGATGCAAGGAAATCTGGAAAGCCCTGAGAACCTCAACAAAACCCCTTGACTTGAATTTTGAAAAAGCAGCTTCTCTTGCGCTTCTTCTTGTCCTTCTTGCGATTGGTGCTCTCGACTTCCTTGCCGTCAAAACCGCCTTGGCTTCCACTCCCGAGCAAAGATTGACTCCTCAGAAGCTGAAAGTGTATTCTTAAGCCGAACAAAGCGGAAACAGTATCCCTGCAGTATACCAGACTCTGCTCAAACAAGGAACCGGTTGACAAAGCCTTGGCGAGACGATTGTGTGCCGAGCTCATGAGAAAGGTGCTTGCAGCTCGCGTCTCGGCATCGGCCTCTGGATCTGGCAGGGATCGGCTGGAGAAGCTCCTCACCAAGAGCACCCTTTTATATCTTGTGATAAGGAGAAAACAATGCTCGTCAGGGCTGCAAATGCTCACAGGGAGAGAACTACATCGAGACTAGAAACAAGTCCAAGAGGGCACTGTTTGTTTCTGCGAGCTACAGAGAAATGGAGCGGAGACACGGGACCCAGTGCAAAAGCATCGTTCGGCTGAGCCAAGACAGGGATACAGACCGGAGGGACGAAGATAGGACGAAAGACGGAATGAAGAGATAATCTTGGAGTGAGCAGTTGACAACCTGAAATAGATTACAGACAGTGACGACGAGTGGCAGGAGAGAGTGAGACAGAGTACGGGATAGAAAGATCATCGCAAAAGTGATCTGGGTTCCGAAACAGCCCAAAGAGGCAAAATAGGTCCTGGTTGGCGGCCGCCTCATCCCACTGGAGAGCGAAGTGCAATGGCAAGGCCCTAGATGCCAAGAAGTTCTTATCTGAACAGAGCAGCTGGTGCCGGCGGCAAAGCACTGTCACAGCTGGAGAAGGCATGCAAGAACATTGCTGAAGGTGCAGCTGCAAGAGTGAGTGCTTCAAAGCTGCAAAAGCAAAGTGAGAGCTCAGAAGCTGGAGACATCGCGGACAGTCCGCGTGCTTGCTGATGCTGCCCCTCTGTGAAGCATGCTGCCGAAAGCGCAAACCGGTGCCTGTTTTGTAACTCCGAAGCGTCCCAGTGGCCACATCTCTTCATATTGGAAGGCTGCAGATCACTCCTGAGATGACACAACACGAAGAGCTGTGCCAAGAAGTTGCAGGGACGAACAAAAGGAAAAAGATTGGACAAGGTACCAGTAGCTGCCAGTCTCCCATTTCCTCAGCACCAGCAGCTGCGGCGGCGGCCTGGTGAATGGTGGTTTGCCAAAGGTAGTGTCGGCTAGACTGGGCAAGGCGAGCTTGTAGATGGCATGCAATTGCACTCTAGACCAGGCCAAATATAACCGCGATCCCAGAAAACTCAAACCTGCTTCACATTCACAGGACGGTTTTAGTGCCTCCTGCGGAGCCACAACGAGGAAGGGCATCCCGGGTTCCAGTTCCTGCACCTGGGACCCAAAAAGCAGGTGCAAGCAAGCTACTGGTAATGAGACGAGCACCGAATCCCAGACCGAGCAGAATGTGATTTCTTCTACAGCAGCCAAGTTGGGGCATATTGAAAACGGGCACCGCTAAGCATCCCTGCCTGCAGAGACTGCAAATAAAGGAGGCTCATACGGCTGGTCCTGGGATCGAAGGACGTTTGCCCGGTGATGGGATAGCGATGCCGGTCATCCCTGTCCTTGATTGAATCATGATACGGCCCCTGTTGTTGCAAGGACCCTCAAAAAGGACAGTGAATGAAACATGAGATTCCCAAACCCACAAAATGCAAGCATGATTCCATGGCCACCAGGAAGGAGGCGAGCTGCTGCACCATGTTGGGAACACTCTCCAAAAGCGAATGCCAATCCGACACGTTCTTCCTGGCGTAGAGGATCTTTGATACCT